AGAACGAAGGATCAGCGGAAGGTTGTCTTTTCAAATTGCAGCATTTATTAATGGTTCTCTGGGCCCGGATATTTATTGATCTGAACAAGATAAATTAGAAGATAAATCCATAACGCGCCCCAAAAAGGTAAAGCAGTATTTTTCGAACTCCGCAACTTCCAAGAGGGATGGACTTCAACTCCCAGAATTCCCTAGCCAGCATATTAGTTTCCCATTTAATGGTCAGGCCATGTGTTCTGACCAAGGCTTCCTGAGACAATAACAATCACACAGTCCCCAAAACTCTCTCTTTATTTTTTCAACGGCTGTGAATTATAGTCATTCCCAGCCCGTAATGAGTCCCAAACAGTCCAACAGAAGTTCTGCCACCGTCCTTCGGGATAAGGCTGATTAGCACCCACCTTTAATCTCCCTTGAAATGGTGCCAACAACTAAATGGCCCATTAGCTGTACAAGGCCAAACAGAGCTTCAGATTTTAAAACTGACCACAAGGAAACGAAGGTTGCTTCCTGCGAAGACTCCTGTCCCTTTGCTTCTCCTTTATGTCACAGGAGGGGCCAATCACCTCCAAGCCTTACTCCCCAATTGCCCCTTTTGTCTTAACTGTTCTTGCCTTCTGGCAGCTCTGCATGCACACACTGGGAACAAGCTCCCGCTGTTCTTTTTCCTCACTGCTATCAGATTCTAGAGGGTCTGAAGTCGGCACAGAACTCCCTGATGGCCCCGGCCCCATCTCTGTATCGGACGCAGATTTCTTCATTCGAGTCCTCCCGCCCCCCAGACTCCAGGAATGGCCCATGTTTCTCCCCACTGTTCAACTCTGCTGCTGTCTCCACAGGCCGCCGGAGGACCACAATACCATGTAGCCCATATTTAACCTTTTTTATTAATTTAGCTTGCCATGGGTTGTTTATTTTGCTGAACTCAAGGTATATTACTTCAATCGCATTCCCACTATCTATTAAGAAAGCTACCCAATCAAATAAAAAAAAATGCGATAGACTCCAGCCCCAATGTGTCCTTGTCCTTTCCAGGCTGAATTCTTGCTGGATAGGGAATTCTGGGAGTTGGAAGTCTGCACCTCTCAGGCTGAGACTCGGGGATGGAGAGGGTAAAGGCCAAGCAATTTGGGTATAGTCACTCCATCCTGTGGAGTGGTATCACAGGCTGTTGGGACTTGATGTGGGGTGGTTAGAAGGATTGTCTCTCGGGGTCTCATTTTGTGGTTTGGAAAACTGTTCAGGAAGGAGGCCTCCATCTCTGGCACCTCACTTTGTGGTAGGGTGGGGAAAGTCTCCTATTTCATGGTTCATATTTTTCACTCACTGAAGGCCAATATATGTGTCCCAGGAGAATGTTGCAGGGATCCAATCTGGGTCAGTTATCGGGACCAAAAGTTTAGTCTTTCGGAGTCGTGCTGGAGCTGAGGAACTGTTCTGACCCCAACCCTTCTCCAATAAAACCAACGCGAACCAAAGGGAACAGAAACCTTTTAATGATTCTTAACGAATCCCCGGTTAAAAGGCTGCTGCAAACTAATTAAGTTTGATAAGCACAAGCCTCGCCAAAACTGCACGAGGCTGCCAAGAATAACAGATAAGAAATATTTCACAATGCAAGAGTCTTCAAATAGCAACTTAGGATACTATAATGTCCACAAGGCTGATTTTGAAAACGCCTTTGGTTCCTGCAAAGAACGTCCCATTCACAGCTGGCTTTTATCTCCTTGAAGGAGGGGCCATTACCTTGCAGCCTTACTCCTGAGTCACCTGTGCTGCTGCAGCTGCTCTTTCCTACGAGCAATCCTGCGCGCACTTGGCACAGGCTCCTTGGGAACCTCCTCATCACTGCTGCCACCCCCAACAATCTGAAGGCAGCAGTCCACTCCCTGATTGTCCTGGCCCCTCCTCTGAGTCCTCGCTCTCCTCCGCCATCCGCACCTGCTGCTGGCAAACCAGAACAGGAACTTCTCTCTAGCACCGTGGCAACTTTAAGACCTGTGGACTTCAACTCCCAGAGTTCCTCAGCCAGTTAGGCTTGAATATATCTGAACTTCAACTCCCAGAATTCCCCAGCTAGTTAGGCTTGAAGATATCTGGACTTCAACTCCCAGAATTCCCCACCGTTAGGCTTGAAGATATCTGGACTTCAACTCCCAGAATTCCCCACCGTTAGGCTTGAAGATATCTGGACTTCAACTCCCAGAATTCCCCAGGCAGCTGGGAGTTGAAGTCTACAGGTCTTGAAAGTTGCCAAGGTTGGAGACCCCTGCCCTAGCCAAGAGCGTGCATTGGGCTATACGTGGGACATCCATTCAATTTTGCAGCTACTGAGATTGTTGGGTGAACCAGTACAAAAACAGCCGTGGACATGACTGAAGAAACGGGCCCTTCGCCAGTCAACGGGAGCCCTGATTTAACACCAGCTTATGTCCTTAGGAGGAGAGGGCATTGCAGCTCAAGGAGACAGGAGCCCAACGACTCCCATGGAGCCCACAGCACTCCAGGCCCTCCTGCCCTCCGCTCTCTTCCCACGCTTTGCCCAAATTCATGTTCGTCGCCTCGGTGACCATCCCTAACCATCCCGTCCTCTTGACATTCCCCTTCTCTCCTTTTGCCTTCAACCGATTGTCAAAAGCACGCGCAAAACAAACCCCCACAGCGATCGGAACAACAAACGGAAGGAGGGAGGCTTCAGGGGAACCCTCATCCAAGACCAGCCAGAATGCAGAAAGGACTCTGGAGGTCTTCTAGTCCAACCCCCGCCCCGCTTGTTTTGACCTAAAGCTTTTTGTCCCAGCAAAACCCCTTTTCTTGAACGAAGGTGAATTCCTGGCATTCACATTCAGCCAAAGGCCTGGCAAGCAGTCTTTCCAGGGTGTGATGAGACGCACAGACCTTATTTAGCTTGGAGAGCTGTCAAGTAACTATATTCCAAACGCAGTGCTGACAAGGAAGGGCTCAGCACAGAGTCTCTGAAATGCACAGACTGCGGCAACAAGCGACCGAACGAATTGTTTCCTGCAAAGGCCCCCCCGCCATTAAATCATGAGTCTCGAGCCAAACTCTTGTCATTTGCCGGCAGCCAGTGCAGACGGCAGCGGAATCGGACAGTGGGGAAGAAAGGGGACCAGTCAGGGAGTCTGGAGAGGACTCGGATGAGGGTCCTGCGTCCGATGCAGGGATGGGGCCAGAACCATCTGGGAGTGGGGTGCTGCCTCCGGAGCCTCCAGAGTCTGGCAGCAGCGAGGAAGAGGAGCCAGGGGAGCCTGTTCCCAGTGTGTGTATGCACAGAGCTGCCAGAAGGCAAGAGCAGCTGAAACAAAAGGGGTGACTCGAGAGTAAGGCTGGAAAGTGATTGCCCCTCCCATAAGGGATAAAAGTCAGCCCTCAATGATGAACTCTTTGCAGGAAGCAAGGTCGTTCGATCGGTTCCAAGTCCTCGAAGCTCAGTGTACTCTGGTTTTTTTCTTGTACTTCGGTTGGTTTCTTTTATAGTTAATTGCATACTTCTGTTTTTGGCAGCTTTCCACAGCACTGAAAGGTGGGTGCTTATCTTGGGGGAACTGTTTAAGATTAGCTCCAGCTGGGAATGAAAGCAGTTCCCAGCATTGCAATAAAATAGGTTTTGCTTTGAAAACAAGTTGGCAATTCATTACGATTGACGAAGCCTGGGTCAGAACAGAAACTTCCAAAACTTCAAAAGGATTTATTGGGAGCTAACATGTCAGCACTGCCTGGGTGTAGCCAGACTCTGTGACACATGATTCATTGTCACCTTTGACCCTGGTTTTCCCTCCACCCCTCTGGGTGTATCATCATTCATATTCTTCAATGAGACACGTCCATTGCCCTGAATCATCGATCACGGTCTCCAGTTAGAATTTTGCATGGCAGAAATGTCAGTCACCTAGTTGCTATCGTTGAAAAACTAGTTACAGAATGCGCTTTTGGTTTCCCAGCCGCCGTACTGCTCCCCCTCTCCCTTTCTGTTGGCAACTCTAAAAAGACCATAGAACTATTTGATGAGGTTGACATTCAGCTCCCCTCACTTCCTGACGACGGCCATTCCGGCTGGGGAAACTTCTGGCTGGAAGCACACACACACACCCCAAACTTCTCTCCCCCGCCCCTGTCCTGCAGACGCTCTGGATGCCCTTCCCAATGGCTTTGCCTGTCTCCCTCCGGCGGATGGCGACCTCTGCTCCTTGCCCGGCTTGCCGGACGCCACAATCCTCATCAGCAACGTCTGTAGCATCGGAGGTCACGTGGCTGAGAAACTTTTCCAAGGGAGCCGGGACAGCGAGCGGCCGATGGATCCTTTGGCCGGCCGGGTGGAAGGCGAGGGCCGGCCGGTCGAGGTGGCTCCCGAAGAGGCCGAAGAGAGGCCAGCCGAGAACATGGCTCAGCCTGGTCTGCTGCGGGAGGAACACATCACGTGTGTGCACAGTAAGAGCAGCGTGTGTGTGTGTGTGTGTTGTGTGTGTGGTTTCTGCGGAGAGGGAGGGGTTCCCCTCTCCCAGTGCCCGGCTCTAAACAGGGAGTCCTCGCCTGAACGACCCCCTCCAATTCCTGTCGCTAAAGGAGACATTGGTTCGAGTGACTTTTGCCCCTGTTGTTAAACGAATCGCCGCCATTGTGTAATTTAGCCAGCCAGTTGTTAAGTGAGTCCAGCTTCCCCCACACCCCATTGACTTTGCTCTATCTGGAGAGGACTTTGCTCCTCCAGGTGCTGCGACTGTCACAAACTCGAGTCGGTTTCGAAGTGTCGGAATTTTGAGCCACGGGGAACACTGCAACGGTTGTGTGTGAAAAAAAAACCCAGTCCCAAATGATGTGATGTTAAACTAAATGAACTGTTTTTTTGTTTTTTTTTAAGTCAAGGACTCACCTGGGCAATAGTTTGCAAATGAAAAAGGAGGGGTTAAAAAAATGAAACATTAAATGTGGATTAACCCCCCCCCTTTTTTTCCCTCAGCGGCCATAGAAGAAGCCCCCCTTCTTCCCCCGCCCCTCCTTCCCTCCCCATGTGGAGACACCCCCACACACAAAAGATGGGTCGAATTTGGGTTGCTTCTGCTTCCTTTCTCCTTCCTCCCTGCCAGGTATCTTGGACAAGTTCCTGCAGGCGTACGGCAGCCTCATCCCCATCAGCGTGGACGAGGTGGTGGGGAAGCTAGAGGACATCTTTCAGCAGGAATTCTCCACCCTCCAGAGGTACGATGTCCTCACCACACACACACACCACCATTGCTACCCCAGGGAAGAAAAGCCCAGAAAAAACCAAGCTGCAATTCCAGGCGAATTAAAAGAGACAACTCTGTATATAACAAAAGGAAATTCAATGTCGAGAAAAGGAAAGTGTTAAATTTCTTTGTCTTGTTCCCTTTTTGAGGGCATAGAAGGGGAACTTGCCAAATTTGCAGAGGAGACTAAGCTAGCAGGAATAGCCAACACACTCAAGAAGATTGGCTCAAGATCCAGATGGATCTGGACAGAGTAGAACACTGGGCCATAATTAACAAAATGAAATTCAAGGTAGAGAAAAGGAAAGTCCTACACTTAGGCAGGAAAAACCTAAAGGACCCATATAGACATATAGGAGAAACCAGGCTCCATAGCAGTCACTGGAATAAGGGATCTCGGAGTCTTAGTGGACAACCAGCTAAAGAGGAGCCAGCCATGTGCACCAGCAGCCAAAAAAGCCAATGCAATCCTAAATTGCATTAACAGAGGGATACAATCCAGATCAAGGGAGGGACTAAGACCACTCTGTAAAGCCTTAGGCCGCACCTAGAGTACTGCATCTAGTTTTGGTCGCCATACTGTAAAAAAGGATGTTGAGACTCTGGAAAGGGCAAAGAAGAGCAACAAAGATGATGAGGGGACTGGAAGCTAAAACACGAACGGTTGCAGCAACTGGGCCTGGCTAGTCTAGGGAAGAGAAGGACGTGGGGAGATAGGAGAGCAGCCTTCCAGTATTTGAGGGCGGGGTGGACGTGGACTAGATGACCCACAAGGTCCCTTCCAACTCTGCTAATGTGACTTTAATCTGATTTTAAGGAACAAAAAGACCAGGAGAGGGAGGGAGGGAGGGAGAGAGAGAGATGGTAGAATCATAAGGATGGAAGGAACCTTGGAGGTCTTCTAGTCCAACCTCCAGGGGCCCAAGGCCGCCTACTATCCAGGAAGAATGGTTATCTGATCTTTTCTTGAAATAGATAGGCAGACCGATAGTAGATAGATAAATAGGTACCATAGGTAGATATATTTTCTTGAGATAGGGAGGGAAGGAGAGAGGGAGGGAGGGAGAGAGAGAGGGGGGGAGAGAGAGAGAGAGATCTTGAAATAGATAGCCAAGGCAACCAAAACTTTGAGGTCTGGGGTTTCCTCAAAAGTAAGAATTTATTAGGAATACCGTCTTGGCACAGCTGGTGAGAAGACCCCAAGTTTTCCCCACCCAAAATCAAAAAACCACCAGTTCTTGCCACCCACCCCCTCAGTCCCCACGTGTCTTACCATCCCAGGGTCCAGCCAGGTCCCAGTCCCAACCTCTGGTTGGGCCTCCGTCCTCGCCTTCCCGGCATCCAGTGAGAACGTCCTTGGTTCCCAGGAGAAAGAATTTTGTTTGGGCTATGCGTCCCCCAGCACTTTCTCTCTCTCTTTCTCCCTCTCTCTCTCTCTCCCTTTCTTCCCCTCTCTCTTCCTTTCTTCCGC